GACCAGAAAAAAATTTTTTTTAAAGAATCTTGATTATTCCCTGTTAGTCTTTCACTTTTTTTGTGTGTGTGTATAGGAGTTTGAACTTAGGCCTCACACTTTCTAGGCTGGAGCTCTACCACTTTAGCCACTCCACCAGCTGTTTTGTATTGGGTATTTTTGAGATAGGGTCTCAAGAAGTGTTTGCCTAGTCTGGCTTCGAACTGCGATCCTCCTGATTTCCGCCTCCTGAGTAGCTAAGATTACAGGCATGAGCCACTGGCACCTGACTTTTCACTTCTTTTAAAAGTTTTGTGGTGTTTTTGGTAGTGGGGTTTGAACTGTGTGTCCTCGCACTTGTTAGGCAGGCACTTGAACCGTGCCCCTACCCTTAAAAGTTTAAGATCATTTTAAATGATGTATTTTTTCCTTCTCAAAAATTTTCAGTAATAATCAAAAGCCCAAAAAATTTGACACTATTAAAAAAGCCACAGTTCAGGGGGTGGGGGGAAGGGGGGAAATGACCCAAACATTGTATGCACATATGAATAAAAGAAAAAAAAAGCCACAGTCCTAAAAGATGTCACTAAAGAACTTTAGTTCAAATTTTCACAGAGCAGGCTGTGTGTGGTGACTGACACCTATAAATCCCAGCTACTTGACAGGCAGAAATAGGACCATCAAGATCCAAAGCTGGCCCAGGCAAAAGTATGAGATCTTACCTGAAAAAGAAATGAAAGCAAAAAGGGCTTGGGGATATGGCTTAAGTAGTAGAGCACTTAACCTAGGAAGCATGAAGGTCCTGAGTTTAAAAACTGAGTACTAGCTAGGCACAGTGGCACACGCCTGTAATTCTAGCTGCTTGGGGGCGGAGATTAGGAGGTTCACAGTTCAAGGCCAATCTGGGTAAATAGTTTGAGAGACCTCATCTCTAAAATAACCAGAGCATCAACCAGCAAAACCCTTGTTCCTTCCTATTATTGCTTATACTCTCTCTACAACAAAATTAGAAATAAGGGCAAAATAGTTTCTGCTGGGTATTGAGGGGGTGGGGGGGAGAGGGAGGGGGCAGAGTGGGTGGTAAGGGAGGGGGTGGGGGCAGGGGGGAGAAACAACCCAAGCCTTGTATGCGCATATGAATAATAAAAGAAAAAAATAAAATAAAATAACCAGAGCAGCAACACCACTAACAACAGGTGTTGGCGAGGATGCGGGGGAAAAAGGAACCCTCCTACACTGCTGGTGGGAATGTAAACTAGTACAACCACTCTGGGAAAAAATTTGGAGGCTACTTAAAAATCTAAAAATTGATCTACCATATGATCCAGTAATACCATTCTTGGGGATATACCCAAAAGAATGTGACACATGTTACTCCAGAGGCACCTGCACACCCGTGTTTATTGCAGCACTATTCACAATAGCCAAGTTATGGAAACAGCCAAGATGTCCCACTACTGATGAATGGATTAAGAAAATGTGATATTTATACACAATGGAATTTTATGCAGCCATGAAGAACAATGAAATGTTATCATTTGCTGGTAAATGGATAGAATTGGAGAACATCGTTCTGAGTGAGGTTAGCCTGGCCCAAAAGACCAAAAATCGTATGTTCTCCCTCATATGTGGACATTAGATCAAGAGCAAACACAACAAGGGGATTGGACTTTGATCACATGATAAAGCGAGAGCACACAAGGAAGGTATGAGGATAGGTAAAACACCCAAAAACCTAGATAGCATTTGTTGCCCTCAATGCAGAGAAACTAAAGCAGATACTTTAAAGCAACTGAGGCCAATAGGAGAAGTGGATCAGGAACTAGAGAAAAGGTTAGTTTGAGAAGAGTTAACTTAGAAGGTAACACACATGTACAGGAAAACAATGCAAGTCAACTCCCTGTATAGCTGTCCTTATCTCAACTAGCAAAAACCCTTGGTCCTTCCTATTGTTGCTTATACTCTCCAACAAAACTAGAGATAAGGGCAAAATAATTTCTGCCTGTTAGCGAGGGGTTAGGGGAAGTAGGGGAGGGAGTCGGGGTTGGGGGGAGAAATGACCCAAACATTGTGTGCACATATGAATATAATAAAAAAAGAAAAAAGAAAAAAAATAACCAGAGCAAAATAGACTGGAGGCATGGCTTAAGTGGTAGTGCACCTGCTTTGCAAGTGTGAATCCCTGAGTTCAATCCCTGGTACCACAAAAATAAATTAATTAAATAATCACAAAGTAGTTACAGAAATGTTTGACAGTAACAAGGGTAAAATGCCCATGATTCAAACATCGTAATAAAATCATTACTGGTATTTTGTCATGTCTCCTTTTAGTCAGTACTATCAGAACAAGAATTTCACACTCTGGTGTGATATTTAATGTATAATGAGGTGGTAGGTAAGTAGTTTTTATAGGATTTATACCAGCTTTAGAATTTTCATGCTAGTAGCAAAACATTGCCAGTTAATATTTCTTCTTCAATTACTGCCTCAATCGGGACTCTGCTACATAAACTCTGGTTTGAGTGTGTAAAGGACTAAAAAGGTGGTAATGTGTCAACTGGAAAATTGGCCTATGCCTGCTACTATTTAAAGGGGGTAATTATGTTCAAAATTGTATTTTCCTTTGTGTTTTCTGGGTGAGTCATTTTCATTATTTGAACTTCACATTCTCTGTAGTTTTAACCAGAGTTTTGTTTTGCTTTGTTTGCAGTACTGAGGTTTGAATTCAGAGCCTCATGATTGTTAGGTAGGCACTCTACCTTTTGAGCTACTCCCCCAGCCTATTTTGCTTTAGCTGTTTTTTTAATAGGGTCTTGAATTTATGCCCTGGTCAGCATAGAACCCATCCTATTTACATTTTCTGCCTCACTGGGATGACAGGCATCACCAATGTCCAGCTTTTATTGGATGAGATGGGGGTCTTTCAGAATTTTTGGGGGGACTGGCCTGGAACCATGATTGTCCTGATCTCCATCTCTCAAGTAGCTAGGATTACAGGTGTCAGTCACTGTGCTTGGCTTTTAACCAAAGTTCTAAAAGACAAAAATTATATAAGTTAATTATGTCTTTTTCATAAGAGAGTTCAGTTTGACTGATACTTTCCCCAAAGGAATTATAATAATCTCATCATGCTTTTGAATTGCAGGTATAGAACTACATAAAAACAACTCTGAAACTGGGTGCTGGTAGCTGACACCTATAATCCTAGCTACTGGGGAAGCAGAGAACAGGAAGATTGTGGTTCAAACCAGCCTGGGCAAATAGTTCTGAAGAGATAAGGCTGACAGAGTGGTTCAAGCGGTAGAGCGCCTGCCCAGCAAGTGCAAGGCCCTCATTGCTCTATTTTCCTACCCATATACAAACTACATCAACTATATTTACTCTGTTCACCCTCTCCATTTACCCCCCTCCCCCCACTGATACCCACCCTCAGACAGGACCTGTTTTATTTTCCTGTCCTTCATTTTTCTATGTGTATACTGATTACTAAGGAGATTTCACTATAATATTTCACACATGTATATATTGTACTTTAATTAGATTAATCCCTTCTGTTACTTAACTCTTTCTCTATTGCCCTGCTCTCCTATTACTCAACAGCTTTCAGTGCATTGTTATACTATCTTTATACACACATGCAATGTGTTTCAATATTATTCACTCTGTCTAAACGCCAATGCTGGTCAGCATTTAACTTTTTATATGTTTGTTCTATTAATATTCTCAAGTATTAGAAGTATATGAAAAGCATGTAGAATAAGTGAATAATATTTGAATCTCTGTGGGGCTTCTTTTTGATAATTTTCTTTCATTTCCCATCAGAGATATTTACTATCCTAAATTTGGTATATCTTATGCCCATGAACTTAAAACAGTAGAGCAATGCTGCCAAGTTGGATATATAAGAAATATCCTCCAAACTAGAATTTTTACTAGTACAGACCAGAATTGCCCAAAGATACAAAAATTTTCTTTTATCAAAAAACTTTGTAGCTAGCCCCTGGAAGAATGTTAGAGATTTGCCAAAGAAATTTTTGTGTCATTTCAGTGTGTGTCAGGTTAGATCATAGGAGCTTTAAATTTCTAAATTGATAGCTAGGTATCTAAAATATGTATAATATAAATACATGAGAAATACTGTGACAGATACCTTGCTTTAAGGATCTACTTATGGATAGTACTAAGTAATTAGGTACCAATGACTGTGATAATATACCAGCAAGCTATATGGCTCTTTGACTACTTAAAATAAGGTATTTCACTTAGAAAAATCTAAATCTAAAAAGGCTCATTAGTTTATATTACTAAATTACCTTTGATAGCTAATTGGAGAAATGGTTGCTAAAAAAGGAAACTCTTTCAGGTAACTTTTTAAAAATCCTTAAAAGGCTTATGAAAGACTGGATGTGGTAGTATTTGCCCATACTCTCAGCTGCTTGGGAAGCTGAGGCAGGAAAATCACAAGTTCAAGGCCAGCCTGAGCAACATAGTAAGACCCTGTCTCAAAAAACAAAACACATGCACACACACATGCACACTCTCTCTCTCTCTCTCTCTCTCTCTCTCTCTGTTGTTACAGATGGTGACATTAATATCTAAATTGAACTTGGCCTGTCTCAGGTGGCTCTCACTTGTAATCCTAGCTACTCAGGAGGCAGAGATCAGGAGAATTCAGGTTCAAAGCCAGCCTGGGCAAATAGTTCTTGAGACCCTATCTTGAAAAAAAATCCATCACAAAAAAAAGTGTGGCTCAAGGTGTAGGCCCCTGAGTTCAAGCCCCAGTACTGCAAAAAGAAAAAAAAAAAAATGTATGTATATGTGTGTGTGTACGTACGTATGTATGTATGTGTGTATATATGTGTGTGTGTGTGTGTGTGTGTGTATGTGTATATATGTATATATACACATATATATATAAATTGGATTTAAAGATTCTTGATTGATCATTTGTGTTTCACTTTAGCATTTATATATAACAGTGATTTTTTCGCCTCTTATTATTTTGTTTTTTTCATTTACAGATTGGTAGATTCAAGTGGCCTTTTGAGTAATGATGGAGATGGATCCAAATTAATCAGCAACTTTTCTACCAAAGCAGCAGAAGAGTCTTCATATCACCTTCTAAAAGCTCTATTCAGATTTTCAGAAGGAGGCCAACAAGTGAAATACTAAAAACTTTTTAAAGAGAAGACAATCTCATTTGGGAATTGTCTTTCTCTTTGCCCCCCTATCTTTTTACTTGTTTTAATTTTGCTCTGAATTTATAGTGAAGACCAAAGAAATAGGGTATACATTTAGGAGCTTTATACCAAGAAATTTGCCTTGAAAGTTACTATTCTGTGGAAAGAAAAGCATATTCAGTTCCTGACTTTTTTTTTTTTTAAGTAAGATTTCTAATGTCCTTAGACTTTGAAGGTTAAGACTATTGTAAATACATGTCTACACACTGTTTTTTAGCAGTTGTGTAAGAATAATGAGATTTGTGTTTTAAAGGTGTTGTCTTGTGGATTTGCCAGAAGATTTTTATACTGCTTTAATACTGTATTTTTCATCTATTGCTTTGATGACATTACTTGCCCACATGGGAGGCTACCTGTCTTTCTAGCTATGACCTTGTTATGAACAGTGTTTGTACTCACTGTGCAAATGTCCATGTATTACCGATTTAAGCATCATCATAGAGCCATTGCTTAAGGAAGTTGAATGAGGTGAACATTGACATAGCTCTTTCCCCTTTTCCCCTTTTTTAAATGTAACAAATACCTTTTATGTTCCCCTTCCCCCTTCCCCTTTCCCTTTCCCCCTTTTGGAGAAGTGTCAGGAGCTAGGTAGTATAGGATAAGCAACTAAGGGAACGAAGAAAGTAAGCTACACAGAGCTGGGCTTCTTTGTGCATCGTCATAAGGCGTGCTGCTGACCAGGCTACTTAAGCACCCTTATAACAAGAAAACCTCGTGGAAGATCCAGCTGGCATACTCAAGGAGTTTGGGAAACAGGACCGCAGAGGTTACACTCTGGGGTAAATATTCTCCATGTCTTAACTTTGGTAGAAGACTGTGTATATATGTGTCCCCAAAATACTTGTTGATTTTGCAGTATTTAATTTTGGAGAATAGCAATGAAATGATTGGGTACACCAATGGATAGCTCAGGAAAACTGATGCTAGTTAGTGTTTGAGGAAATGAAGAGGCTCTTGAAGAGGTTGTGTCTTCTTCTCTAAGAAGATCTTTTCTGCTGCTTTTGTCAGAAGTTATTCAAATAACCTAAAAGAGACTAATCTCTTTTCATCATATCTTCTATAGTTTTAAGTAGGTATTTATTCAAGTTCTTTTGATGAAACCCAAAAATGCATTCACTTCCTTCATATAACCTTCCAGACTTGTGCACATTTTTCCAAATCTTACAGGACCATTGCTCTGTTTAGAACTTCTGTGAGATTTGGAGCTTTATAAGTAGTCTGTAGAGAAGCTCAGAGGGAAGTCTTCTGTGAAGAGGGAGTATCGGTTAATCACAGACTCCTTTACACATTAGTATCACATTCTTAAAGGTCTGAGTGGTTTGAATTGTCACATTTTCAGATCCTGGCCATGAGGTTGGTGGATGCCTCACCTTGCTGAAAAGAGACACTGGACCTAAATGGCGCAGCATGACTTTGTTCCTGCTTGGCTAAGTTTCTCAACACCACAGTCAGCTAAGGTACTCTTCTCCATTCATGTAATAATTACCCAAAAACCAGTTTTTTTCATCTCTGTTTCTCTTGTTGCTGTTTTGTTTCAATATATATTCAACCTTTCCTGGGGATTTAAAAAATGTGTTCATAGTCTTATTACTGTTCTCTTAATTAGATATAAGTGATAAGGCATTCTACATTAGCATGTACCTTCCTACTGCCATTGTCTCATTTTTTCATTACCTCCCAGGATTTTCTCATTACACAGCAAGCTTTAGGCTTTTTGTATTAGCTGGAGGGCACATTAGAGATAATATATATCTGCTAAAGTGTTGTCAAAGGGACAGTGGTGAAAGGGAAATGCCATTTTGTAAGCGGACCTTTAAATGAATGCACATTTGACGATGGTAGTAGAGGAGTTTGCTCAGCTACTACTTGGATCTCATTTTTAAATCCTAGAAATTCTACTTAATGGTATTAATTTACTTGATGATTTAGGAAGAAATACATGTTACATTAGGGGTAAAAACGAATGAACAACCAGTTTATATGATTAAAGAAGACCTAGTCACATTACACAGAAAAGCAATGTAAGTTATCGATGAAGTAAAACATTGGGAGACTAGTACAGTTAAAAGTGCTTCCCATTTTGCCAACTAATAGAAGAGGATAAAAAGTAATAAGTAGTCTCGTGTATTTTGGGGAAAATGTTCCTGTGCTTATCTAGACACACAACTTTTGGTCTAAATTTCATTTTGAAATTCCATAATTGGCCTAATCTGGCCCATGGGAAAGGGATTGAGAGTTGGATCTAGAAAAACACTTTAAAAAACAAATAATTATTTTAGCACAATAAACTAGTAAAAGATACTATTTCAGTGTTTCCTGTAATGCAACTGTAAACAAGTTGTGTGATTTTGGCATAAGGATAGACATACAAAGGAAGAGCGTAGAATAGATAATTCAATAATAGACCTGTGTAAGTTGCCAACGTAATACAATGGGGAAGTGATAGGTTTTGTTTTGGTATTGCTTTGGTTTAAGAAATGATGTTATAACAAATGGATATCTCTGTAAGGAAGGAGAAAATTACTTCAGCCTGTTCTTAAACAAAATTAACTTGGATTATAGCTGCATTTATAACCTAAATTAGAAGGCTAAAGACTGTAAAACTTTTAGGAAAATCATAGGAGATCTTTGTAACTTACTAGAATGGGTAAAAAGATTGACAGTATCAACTATTTTTAAGGATACTGATAGTGAGAAGATAGATGTAAAAATGTATGCCAATTTACGGTTTTCTGGTTAGGCCTTGTCAAACATACTTTTCATGGCTAAACAGACTTTGGTCTCTCTGTTAAACAAGGTTGTCCAGAGCAGCAAAACCAATACTTTATATATAGTTATAGGAGGGGACTGATGGATTAGCTTATGTGATCAAAGGTATCTGGAGAGCCAGGAAAACCAGGAGTTGATCAGTCCAAGAAGCTAGAAGCCTCAGAACAAGAGAGAAAGAAAGACAGAGACACCTAGGGGCAGGGGCCAGTGATGATGTAACCCCAAGCCCAAAGGCTGGGAAAATTCCTGGTACAAGTCTACACTAAAAGATTAAAGAATCTGGAGTCTGATGTCCACTGGCGACTGCAGCAGGAAAACCCAAAAAGATGTACCTGCTTAAGAAGAATTAAGTGCAGAACTTGCTCAGGGTCACAACTGAGGAGAAGCATGCACCATTCAAATCCAACCCTCACTCATGGACCACCTCCCAGAGTCATCCCTGGATCCTCCCAGAATCTACTGAACAAGATTTGGCAGAATCTCCAAGAACATCACAAGCAGATTGAAAATGTTTTCCAGCTGGTAGAGACCTGTGCATCCTGTCCATGGCGCCCAGGCAGGCCAGGTCTCACCTGAGAAGGCCAAGCAAAGCTTGTAGGGAACCAGTGAGCCTTGAGGCCCTTCCCTGACCAATTTACAAAGACCAGTGCCCCACGAAGAGTTCAGCTTCAAAGACATGACCACAAAGTCATCCAGCTGCTTGCAATCACTTCCAAAGATAGATGACCTACTGGAGATCAAGCCACCTTGCTGGGACAGTGAGCTTCAGTTTTTGCAAGATTTTTTGCCCAGCAACTCAGGCAGTCCAAAAGGCTCGCTGTCCCACAAAAATTGCAAGAGATGTGCATGCTAAAACATGGAGAGTCTGTGCTCACCATAGCCATGAGCAGCTTCACATGCCGTGCATTTACCTGCAGCAAGGGTGATGTCAAGGTGTGGAGTCTGGTTGGCTACGTGCCTGAGGACAGGTTCCCTGATAGCCACCTGCAACATGCATACAGACTTGTGGGACCTATCTTTGCACTTGCTTGCTGTCTTCAGATAGCAGTACCCTGTTTGGGAGCAGCTGAAACCTGGCCAGTAAAAGTTTGTGGCACATGGCAATACTATCCCTGTTTGTGAAGGACAAGATTCCTTGTGAGAGTCTCTCAGGCCCTGGCTGCCAAGAGAGATAAGAACTTGATCTTGCTGGCTTTACCAATGGGGGATGGTCAGGATGTGGGGACCTTCAGGATCACAGTATGGGCAGAGATCACCAGCCATGTGAGTGAGGACCAAAAGCATGTAGTCAAAGCCTGCAGCATCTGTACAGGGCCTGGATGCCTGCCTGCTGTGCCTGAGAGCCAATGGAATACCAACTCAAGTCTCAGATAATGAGCCTGTCCTTAGCTCCCAGGGAGACTGGATGCTCCTAGGCATAGCCAGTGGCCAGCACTAGCTGCAGCCCACCAACAGGAGCCAGATGCATGTATAAGTTCTCCTCCTATGGCAAGTGGTGACCAAGCATTGGGGTGGATGACTTTGTCACCATTAATAGCATGCCCACAAGAGCAAAGGTCATCTAAGTCCCCAAGAGCTCCTGTTGTACTGCAGTGGGTCTTCCAACCACTGGCTGTTTTTCACAGGATGCAGTAACCAGGCCTTGGTATACCAGATCACTTACGATGCTCCACCACAGTCCCAGCTCTGGTTCCTATTCAGTAGGAGGGAGGCACTACTGGGGTTTGAACTCAGTTGCCTTGAACCACAATCCAGATCTCTGCAAACAGTTGAAGTGGTTGCTTTTTTCTGCCCTTTTGGATAAAGGAAGTCAGTTAATAATTGAATGTGTAACCTAGGACTTCTCTAAATTAACTAAGAGATCTGTCGTACCCTTATGATGCATAAATTCACAGTGGTGGTTTCTGCCGCACTTACTACTATTTTTTTTTTCCTGGCCCCAGTACTGAAGTTTGAGGCCAGCAGTTCACACTTGCAAACTTGAGCCATAGCCCCAGGCATTTTTTGCTTTGGTTATTACTTGGTTTTTGAACACCTGGTACAAAACCTAGTATGATACTGAAAGAGACTAATACCTACTTGCTCTCTATACTTTATCATCTTAGTCACCTACAGCCACCTTTGAAAAACACGGAGAGCACCTATCCAGAGGAGAAGGTAGATTTGGAGTAAGCCGCCGTCGACATAATTCTTCTGATGGCTTTTTTAACAATGGACCTCTACGGACTACAGGAGGTGAGCTATGTTCAGCTTTCATGACTAATATTTAAGCTTCTAAGGACAAGCTATTTAGGAGGTGGAGATCAGAAGGATTGAGAAACAGGCCTGCCCAGGCCAAAAAATAAAATAAAAGGGCTGGGTGCAGGACTGAAGTGGTGGAGTGCATGCCTAGCAAGCACAAAGCCCTGAGTTCAAAATCAGCACTTTCCCCCCAAAAAGAAAGTTCCCTCACAAGGAAGAGATGTATTTAGTGGGTTTTTTGTGTGTACTTATTACTGAAAAGGTCCTGTAAAAGCCTTTTGACAGTACCATAAACAAAATCAGGAAGCATGTGACCCATTTATTTCTTAATTTCCAGGAGGTGGATAGTCTAATGATGTTACTTCTTGTAGATTCCTGGCACCAGCCCTCCCTGTTCCGCCATGATTCTGTGGACTCTGGGGTCTCTAAAGGAGCATATGCTGGAATCACGGGAACATACCTATTTGGCATACCTCTTCCCGTGGCCATGATGGCATGAGCCAACGTAGTGGAAGTGGCACAGGGAACCATCGACCCTGGAATGGCAGCTTCCACTCCAGGAAAAGCTGTTCCTTCCCAGAAAAGCCACCCACAGAGATTAGAGAAGAAAAGAAAGAAGACAAGGTAGAAAGGTTGCAGTTTGAAGAGGAAGATTTTGTAAGTATGAAGCTTTAGATGTTTACTTAATACCCAACAAATAATGTCTTAAAAAATATATAAGATCTTAGCTGGGCACCAGTGGCTCATGTCTATAATCCTAGCTACTCAGGAGGCAGAGATCAGGAAGATGGAAGTTTGAAGCCAGCCCCTGGCAGTAGTTCCTGAGACCCTATCTTGAAAAAAACCCATCACAAAAAAGGGGCTGGTGGAGTGGCTCAAGCGGTAAGAGGCCCTGAGTTCCAACCCCAGTGCAGCAAAAAAAAACAACAACAAAAAAGGACTTGTTAATATGTTACAAAAAAAGAGTCCAAGTTCAGATTTTAAATACTGGTTTCATGATCAGTTTGAAGATGATGACCACAGTTCCTTTGTAACTTTTAGCAACTCTTTTCTTTTTTTTATTGTTTTATTATTCATATGTGCATACAAGGCTTGGGTCATTTCTCCCCCCTGCCCCCACTCCCTCCCTTACCCCCCCCTGCTCTGCCCCCTCCCTCTCCCCCCACCCCCTCAATACCCAGCAGAAACTATTTTGCCCTTCTTTCTAATTTTGTTGTAGAGAGAGTATAAGCAATAATAGGAAGGAACAAGGGTTTTTGCTGGTTGAGATAAGGGTAGCTACACAAGGAGTTGACTCACATTAATTTCCTGTGCGTGTGTGTTACCTTCTAGGTTAATTCTTTTTGATCTAACCTTTTCTCTAGTTCCTGGTCCCCTTTTCCTATTGGCCTCACTTGCTTTTAAGGTATCTGCTTTAGTTTCTCTGCGTTAAGGGCAACAAATGCTAGCTAATGTTTTAGGTGTCTTACCTATCCTCACCCCTCCCTTGTGTGCTCTTGCTTTTATCATGTGCTCAAAGTCCAATCCCATTGTTGTGTTTGCCCTTGATCTAATGTCCACATATGAGGGAGAACATACGATTTTTGGTCTTTTGGGCCAGGCTAACCTCACTCAGAATGATGTTCTCCAGTTCCATGCATTTACCAGCGAATGATAACATTTCACTCTTCTTCGTGGCTGCATAAAATTCCATTGTGTATAGATACCACATTTTCTTAATCCATTCGTCAGTGGTGGGGCATCTTGGTTGTTTCCATAACTTGGCTATTGTGAATAGTGCCGCAATAAACATGGGTGTGCAGGTGCCTCTGGAGTAACCTGTGTCACAGTCTTTTGGGTATATCCCCAAGAGTGGTATTGCTGGATCAAATGGTAGATCGGTGTCTAGCTTTTTAAGTAGCCTCCAAATTTTTTTCCAGAGTGGTTGTACTAGTTTACATTCCCACCAACAGTGTAAGAGGGTTCCTTTTCCCCCGCATCCTCGCCAACACCTGTTGTCGGTGGTGTTGCTAATGATGGCTATTCTAACAGGGGTGAGGTGGAATCTTAGTGTGGTTTTAATTTGCATTTCCTTTATTGCTAGAGATGGTGAGCATTTTTTCATGTGTTTTTTGGCCATTTGAATTTCTTCTTTTGAGAAAGTTCTGTTCAGTTCACTTGCCCATTTCTTTATTGGTTCATTAGTTTTGGGAGAATTTAGTTTTTTAAGTTCCCTATATATTCTGGTTATCAGTCCTTTGTCTGATGTGTAGCTGGCAAATATTTTCTCCCACTTAGCAACTCTTAATACATTTTTCATCTTTATGCCTTTGGAATTAAAAACCAAACAATTATCCCTTAAGTTTTATAAGTTTCAGAATCTAATTATAGTTGTGTAAAAACATAGTTGTTTTTTGTTTTGTTTTGTATGTGTGTACTGGAATTTGAACTCAGGGCCTCAGGCTTGCTAGGCAGGTCGTCTACCACTTGAGTCATGCCCCCAGCCCAAAATCCAAAATGTAGTTTTTCAAAATAAAATTATTAATGCAAGCAAAATAAAATCCTGGATGTTTTTTCTTGTTGTTTTTGCCAGTTCTGGGGTTGGGGCTTGCTAGTCAGACGCTACCACTAATCCATTTTGCTTGAGTTTTTAGGGTTTATACCTAGGCAGATCTGGCTAAAATCCTCCTATTTATACTTCCCTTGTAACTGGGATGACAGGCATGTATCACAGTGCTCAGCTTTTTTGTTAGTTGAGATGTGATCTTGTGAACTTTTTACCTGCACTGGCCTCGAACCTCCCAATAGCTAGGATAACAGATGTGAGCCATGGTGCCTAGCCCAACAAAAGTATTTTTAAAGTGTAGTTTTACATCTTACATTGTTTTTTAAAATTTTAACAGGTTTTTTCATACGTATTTTGCTCTCTGTTATATAAAATAATTACATCAAGGTATAAACATGCAATTTTGAGTATTTTAGCTGTTGCCTATATATATATTTTTTTTTTCATTCCATAAAACTTGATACTGTTATGTGTTAAGTTAGCCTATAAATCAAAAATTGAGGTTCTGGAGTACCTTTTTAAATATTTTAATTACCTTATTTAACCAAGTACATCCACTATATTGTCATTCTTACATATAATTGATAACTTTGAATTATTAATAAGGTAATTTACATTACTTTTTGTACCAGGTGTCTTAATATATGTTGTACTCATTGTGAATCACAGTTGACTAGATTTACTGGATTAAACAGTGCAGCTTTTTTGTGGTAGTGGCATTTTTAATTAGGGCCTTCTGCTTTACCAGACAAGTGTTCTGCCACTTGAGTCCTGCCCTCAGCCTTTTTGCTTGAGTTTCATTTTTGATAGAGTGAGTCTCATGCTTTTGCCCAGGTTGGCCTTGGACTGTGATCCTCCTACCTCTGCCTACTGAGTAGGTAGAATTACAGGTGTGTGCTACCATGCCTACCTAGCCATTGGTGTTTTTAAAGTAGCACATTAGATTATCTGGTCACTAGGTTTTAGCCATTTCAGTAACCTAATTAATAAAGTCAACCAAACAATAGTCAAATTTAGACATTAATGCCTGTTTTCCCAAGTACAGAAAGTATCCTAGGGTCCTTGATTTAAATGTTGAACAGTAATGTGAATTTCTATCCCTCAGCTTAAAAATTTTATCTTTGGAAAACTCTGAAGTGCCTTGACACTGAATATTTGTCTAGAATGTTCTAGATGCACAGTAGTTCAGAAACTACACCACCACATTATAGTTTTCATTACTTACATGTTATGGCTTGAGCAACTGAATGCTTGTTTTTGCAAGTGCACAGCCCTGAGTTCAAACCCTAGTCCCACAAAAAGTTGTAGGAATCCAAGAAAGATTAGGGAACAGTTTAACAAGTTTCTTTTTATACATTTATTCCACATAATTAAGTGAACCCATAATGATGATAATATAATTTATATCTGACATGAAATGCTTAAACTATATTTTATAGCAATATACAACTGAACGTATAGAAAACAAGCTTATTTGGGTCTGTAGTAATCTTAGTTTCTTCTGTGCTTTAGTACAAATAGAGACGATTGTAACAAAAATAATGTGGGGTAAAGTTTAAATTCAATTCCATTATCAGTCCTAGTAGGAAGTGAATCAACAACAGGAAGAAAAATGTTGTGGTGTCATTGTTTTCACTTGCTAGTTGATTTAAAGGGAAGTTTGCTGTCAAAGCAAACCTGAAAACAGACAGGCAAATTATTTTGAATTTATATTTTTATGAATTATTTTATATGTATTGAAAAGTATAGAGAAAACTACCAAGTATGCACATCACTTTACTTTGTGAAATATAGCATTTAGCCAAATGTGCTCTGTGCATTCTTTTAGAAGAGACAAAATAGTCCTATAGATGTAGGTCTCCTCATTCTCTCCTAGAGGTAATCATCATTTTGATTTCAGTGTTTTAAAATCCTCAGTCATGTTTTAGAAAATCTTTTATTATGTGTGTCTATTCATATGCATTTTGCATGTTATTTAACTTTGGGGACTGAGGGTATGGCCCAAGTGGTAGTTTAAACCTCAGTACCACCCCAAAAAAAACTTTTAACTTTTTTCTTTTTCTGTTCTCTTTTTTTTTTTTGAGCCAAGTGTCACTATGTGATCTTATACTCATTGTGTAGCTCTGGCTGTCTTTGTACTCAAGATCCTTCTGCCCAAGTGCTGGGATTACAGGCATGTGCCACCTCGCCTGGCTTATAATTCTTTATAATTAAAATTACTATTTTTTTTTCTAAAACTGTTTATATGCTGATACATATGGCTGTAAATTAGTTGTTCTGTACTGGGGGTATGTTTGCTCCCCCAAGGGACATTTGGCAATATCAGGAGACATTTTGGATAGGATCTCTGTATACTGGCATCTAGTATGTAGAGATCAAGGATGTTACTAAACACCTACAGTACACTGAATAGCCTCCAATAGAGCCAGCCCAAAGTGTCAGTGGTACATGTTGAGAAACCTTGCTAAATCTTTTTTTACTACTTTGTAGTAAATAACTCTATTGTGTAAATGTACTATGTTTGTTTTCTTGTTGATGGACATTTATGTTGTAAAACATCTTGTTTGTGAGGTTAAATCTAAAGGATTAGAACTGAGATACTGGAGAAGGAATTGTCAAAATAAGATACCTATCCAAAGTGAATTAATGAGAGCTGAATTAATGATAGCTCAAGTGGTAAGAGCACTAGCTTAGCAAGTGTGAGACCATGGTTTCAGTTCCCACTACTGGAAAAAACAACAACAGTGGATTAAGGATTAATTCACTTAATTAAGAATACGTAATTAACTTGACAGTTTTTTATATTATCTTGCTTTATATTACTTAGATATTTTTGTTTTGAAATTGTATTACTTTAATGTAATTCATAACTATGTTATTACCTTGGGCCAAGTCGTCCTAATTGTCCCTGAAGTTTTAGAGCTAGTAATATATATCTTGCAGCATAAAAGTAAGGAGTAATGATTATTTATATTGAATAATATACATGAGACACTCAGCATAGACCTTGACACTTAATGTTTTAAATGGTAGCTGTTATTATTCATTGTGTTCAGACTTTGTTAGGAGTCAGCCATGGCTCACTCATCATCAGAGCAATTACCAAGGAGCT